TGTCAATATATTTGGTATGAGATAGAGATTGACTGTGAGAGAGCAAAGCTGTAAATTGAGTGTCAGTGATCTCACTCAACTTCTATGCAGTGGGAGATAAGATGTGAGAAATTAAACCTCAGAGCTGTAACAGAGTAATAAAGTGGGATGCAGTGTGGGGTTCTGTGTCTGGACTTTGTTGCTCTCAGAAATTATTTATAACTCTGGGGAGAGGAACTAATAATATATATTAATACGGCAAGCCTTTCTCTCTTCACTCTGTTTATAGTCCAAGGTTCAGAGGGGTTTGGTTCATGTGCTGCCAAAAATAACCTTTGGTCTCTCATGAACAACAACTCCATTTCAGGGCCTCATTGGCCTCTACAGAGAACAACACAATGACATACTGAATTTTAAGTTGAGATTCAGACAAACCGGCTGGGTTCATGTATAGTGCAGCCGCAGCAGATGTTGTCTATCTCTGGATCCGATCACTGTGAATAGAGAACACTAGCAGTGTAAAGCTCCTGTGTTGTTGGAGCACATGCACCAGGTGAGTTAGTGTATTAGGAGTCCCCTCCATGTTTCTCACATTGACTGCTCTGTGGTCTCCCTCAGGTGTGTTTCACCTGTTTGGCCCCAAGCTCCAATGGCTCATGGGAGGTTGCCTTGTGTGTGCACCGGCTTGTGGCTTCAGGCCAGTTGCCACGGCAGCAATGTGTTTCCCCAGTCCCCCCACCCCTTGCCCACACAACCATGCAAGGATAGGGCAGCGCAGTGGGGGGTCTACCCCTGGGAAATAATTTCTCCCTCTTCTTTCTTGTTATTTGTAACTTGTCCTTTCAAGCAAGACAGCCCTGAAGTTCAGTGGCGCGTTCTTCAAAAAAGGCTATTACTGCTTCCTTCTGATTCCGTATCATGCAGTGCACAGACCAGTCATCCATCTTTTTTATCTGTCTTTCTTCCTGTCATGTTGTTGAAGGGAAGAGGAGAAGTCAGAGTTTGAGGAAGGGACTACGACCAATGCCTTTAAATGGAAAGTGGGCTTCTCCTCTGAGTTTGCACAAGACATCCAATACAGTGAAAGTGCTTTGCGCTTGACATCGCTGACATGTTTTTTTCCCCTTTATGGTAAGAGTGTGCTTACTGTTCTCTGTGGTAAAAGATCTTCAGTTCTCCATTTATCTATAAATGTGTAATAATGTAGTGCTGTAACAGATATGTGGAGCTGCTTTTGAAGGCGTTATGATAAAAGGTAATGGGTTGTTTGCCTGGGAAAACACAGTCCATTGTTTTACATGAGAAAGGGAGCTGATGGGGTACCCTAGCTAAACTGACCTTGGCTAATGCCTGCACAGAATCATCTGTTGGAAATCAACACAAATGAACTGCAGGCTTACATGGTCAATTGTTGCTGTGGGCCATATCTCAGGTCGGCCTCTCAACATTTACATAATTAGGAGCCCTTCATCCAAGACATTTTTGATAGCGCCTCTTTGAAGAGAAAATTCTCCACCCTCAGTCCTCAGCCCCTGCCTTGGAGCTGTCACTTCAAATCGCCCATGACCTCAATTGTCATCACTCTCACCCTTGAAGTGGAGAAATCATTTCATTTCACAAGGAAAAGGCATAAGGGCCTTGATTGCAGCAAATCGATCTGTAATCACACTGCGCTCAGTTCTTTTATCCTATGGGCTTCATCTCCACTTGAGAGGCAGAGGTTATATTTACATGCTGCGTTCTCAAGGATTTCTCTCTCGCCGTGATTCTGATATGAGTGTCACAACATGCCATTCTAATCCTCTTTTCAGGTCATCTCACACAAGGATAACCGTGAAATCTCCTCTACTGATTGCCCACTTCAGCTGTCCTCTCATCAGCTCAATTGTGACGGCCAGGGGAGCTGTGTTTTAGACAGAATGGTGGCCAGGGGAGCTGTGTTTTAGACAGAATGGTGGCCAGGGGAGCTGTGTTTTAGACAGAATGGTGGCCAGGGGAGCTGTGTTTTAGACAGAATGGTGGCCAGGGGAGCTGTGTTTTAGACAGAATGGTGGCCAGGGGAGCTGTGTTTTAGACAGAATGGTGGCCAGGGGAGCTGTGTTTTAGACAGAATGGTGGCCAGGGGAGCTGTGTTTTAGACAGATTGGTGGCCAGGGGAGCTGTGTTTTAGACAGAATGGTGGCCAGGCGAGCTGTGTTTTAGACAGAATGGTGGCCAGGGGAGCTGTGTTTTAGACAGAATGGTGGCCAGGGGAGCTGTGTTTTAGACAGAATGGTGGCCAGGGGAGCTGTGTTTTAGACAGAATGGTGGCCAGGGGAGCTGTGTTTTAGACAGAATGTTGGCCAGGGGAGCTGTGTTTTAGACAGAATGGTGGCCAGGGGAGCTGTGTTTTAGACAGAATGGTGACGTGTCCTTGTGAGCCCTCTTTCCTCTTAGTGGTCAATCCGCACCTTCGACCAACGTCAGCATCGCACGCCATACTGTCCTCTGTTACCTTTTCCTGGTCCTAGAATATCATGGAATATGAGTCTGCGGTGGCTATCTGATTTGCTTTTTTATTTTGTAGAGTCAGAGAGGGAGTTGGCATTTGGTGGAATCAAGATTTGGTATGATTGTGTGCTCTGTAGTCTGTATATGACAGTAGGGATGTTGTGGGGGCCAAGGGTATCTCTCACCGGGAGTTGATATGTGTGGCCTGTAGTGGGGAGTGACGGCGGATGGTCTATTAGTGTTTCAGAAGGCCTTGGCACCAACATGCCTCCAAAATAAGATGAGCTGAATAAATCTGAGGGACCAGAGGCTTTGTGTTCCCACAGTCTTATTTCCTGTCATGGCCGGACCTATTCAGGAGGAAGAAAACAATGTCATAAAGCTCTATTGCTTTTAAAGCCCTCTCTCTTCCTCTCTCTCTGCCTGTCCTTGAGGAGCAGAGGGGGGCAGGGGGCAGAGAGGGGGGCTCTGATGGTTGTTCGGGCTCAGTCGACTGGGCAGAACAACCGTCTGCATTGTATTCCAAGGCCCTGTATATATTTAACGTGAGTGACAATTTACAGCTACTGCACGTCCCGAATATGACGCACGTGTCGTGTTTCCACCTCGGCAAAGTGAAGCTAATTTATTACAGCGTAAAAGGCTCAGTGCGTTCATAGGGAGTAAGGCCTTGGTAGGGCCAAGGGCTGGGGCTGGGGGCTGCACTGGGTTAATAAAGTCTTCAGTCAGTGGGAGCGGAGTGGGAGGCAGCACTGATCTCTCCTCACAGAGACAACCCAGGACCAGTGTGTGATTGTAGCATAATTTCACCCTCTCACAGTCCCATACAACTCAGTCAACTGTTCTACTCATCTGGCTGTTCACTGGTTTTAATGGTCTGTGTGTTTTACATCAATCATAAACTACAGTACTTGAGTTAATACACAACTATGTAAGAAAAATGCATCATGGCATTGTCTCAATGACATAAACAAGTTAAACTCCCACTCCAAAAAGTCCACAAAGTGTCTAGAATAACACCTGGAATAAAATACCTCTGTAACAGACATATTAAGTACATGAATACGGAATAGATGCCAACAGTATCCAATAAAAAACTGTAATCTCTGCAGAATGTGATATCCCATGAATCCAGCTCAAGAAAACAACGGCCTCAGTTTATTGTATTATGTCAGAAGCCTTTTCAAGTCTTATCTGTTTGAATTAGAAGTGGTGAGACTGTCATAGCAAAAACGCTGAACTGCACAATTCGAGTGACCTTCAAATTTCATTAGATTTAGGTTGTTTGTCAAAGACTCTTTTCTTCTTTGATACAATTTACATATTTATCAGACCTGATCGTAATATGACATCTTAAAATGTTTTCAAGCTCCGAGCGGTAATGTGGCGTATGTGACTTTCTCAGGTGGGAAATATGCTGAGGGAGCAGTTTGATGCTAAGGTATGGGCAGACATTTTTCTCCCTCTATTTCTCTCTCTTGCTCCCTCTTTCGCTCCCTTTAGTTCTCTCGCTCTCACGCTCTCCCTCTTACGCTCACTTAAACTTTTTCTTCCCTGACTCTTGTGACTTTCCTAATGTAATCCTCTCCTTATCCGGGGTGCTGTGACAGGCCCATTGAGGTCTGTGATGATGGTAGTGTTAAGAGGTTCATTACATGGAGACCTGCTCAGTAAGAAACTCTCAAAGCTCTCCTCTTATCACCACTCCCCTCTGCTTATATAGCACTAAGGAGAGGGGGGCAGAGCCATTGGTAAAGACTAGATATCCAAGACAAAATATCTGCTTTTCAACTTAAACAAGAAATGGAAATGTATGTTTTTTCAAGGCTAACTGATAGCACTGAGTGTATCTGTTTAACAATGAAAAGTGTAGTTTGACTCATTGACTCGGCCCTCTGTGGTTGCTTTATTTTGATTCCTTATCCTGTATCTGAGAAAGTGTTGCAGTATCAGATGTCAGAGTATAAGCCTGGATGGCATACATCACATGCATCAGACTGTCTTTCCAAAATAAAGTGAGCAAAAAACTCAGTAATGCTGCAGGAAAATGAGTTTGCCTCTACAGCATATTTGTATTGTTTTAAAAGGCTATATTTCACTCCTCCTTCTGTTTCCATGTATCCGGATGTGTGGGGATTACAGAGCCCCTTGCTGATCTTTAGCGGCACCTGCTGGCCAGGCTGTGCCACTGCAGCTGTGTGCTGTGCTCCTGGGGGCTGGGAACCTGTGGTGCTGTTTGGCTGAACGCTCGGCTGGGCAGAGACAGAGGCATGCAGGCAGATAGACAGAGAGCTGCAGGCAGGGAGTGCTTTGGCTGAGGAGGCAGCAGGAACCCTAGGCACTCCCTATACACTGGACTAAGATAATCTGGGCTGCAAGCCTGGTGGAAATTACACTGATGAAGCGCAATGGCAAATTAGCATAAAACATATATCTACAAGAGCATTATTTTTGAATCCCACACAGATTTCTGTTGTGAGGTGGCTGTTGTTTCAAGGCTGTTGGTTTTAATGTGAAGGGGCTTTGTGTGCATGCTAGGTTTACTCTGTAAGTCCTCTCTGAATGAAGCACTCCCTGTGCTCGCCCACGGCACTATGTGGGCACTGCTCCATTGTTGTGCATCAGGAGCCATGTCGCGTTGGGTCGAGGCCAAGGTGGAATTTATAACTGATGGAATTCCACACCCAAGTGAGCGCTGGGCCTGGTGAGCTCTCACATTTACAACCAATGCCCCGGCGGCTCTGCCGAGACTCCTGAATGGCAAAGCCATTTGTCTCTGTGAAGGGCAAAGAGAGAAAGCGAGGGGGCTATCTTTTTTTCTTCTCCTTTAAAAACAGAATAATGCTTTATGTTTACGCACAGCCCCTCACACCAGCAACACATGTTTTCCAAAGCTCTTAGAATCGTAATTGGAATTAAAGAGGGGAAAGTGTGTGCAGCCCATTGCCAATTAGCATTTTCTCTGCTCAGGAGAAGCTCAGGGGGGATCAATAGGATATTAAGTTTGTGTACATAGAAATAAGGCACACAATCACTTCCAGCAATTAGCAAGACTAAACGTGTGGAGAAATGTCGACCTCCGATGGCTGCCTGACCTGTGTTCTGTGACCATCATTTGCCAGTTTTCAAGCTTTGCTGAAGTGCATTGGTACAGTTTGCTTCTATTGGGCACAATAGTATTTGGCCCTGACAAACAGTAGCGATCAACACAGCAAGGCTCATGTCGAGTTCTGCAAACAGGCCTGGTTTTCTCTCAGCAGTGGCTATAAACGTCTTAAGGCCATCTTTCCAAACATAGTGATCATTTGTGGTCTCAAGCTGCAGAGTAACTGTCAGTTATCACTGAGTGGCTCTCTGATACCTGCTCTCTGGCTGAAGTTGCACAGCCCTCCAGCATCTCACAACCCTCCAGCATCTCATAACCCTCACAACAGTAGCCACAGTCCCCTGTTATCAGCCCTGGAACCCTCAAATATCCCCAGGCCTGGGGCTGTCCTCTGGAGACCAAAGCAAGAGCCATAATGTATTAGGTCTTGCTTGTTTTTACAGACCGTGATATATCTATATATAATTCAAAGAGTGTGCTGAATAATCCATGTGCTTATTTAATTATTAATTAATGCGCAGGGCTGGGAGTGAGGGGGACGTTTTTGTGGGTTGACCTGGGTACCAGTGATACCCCCTCCTCCATACCAAGGTGTCAATCCATCCTCTTCTCCATTGTACTTGGCATCTCTCTATCACTTATTCATCCACTGGACTCCCTGAAGATTCAAACACAAGCATTCCTCTTTGTGACCACTGGGATATATACATTTATCATAATCTAGTTAAATATGATCCCTGCTATATGGAATGTAATCATCTATATTGAATAAGAGACAAAGCAAGTGAAGTCAGGTTTGACCTGTATGTGGTAAATTATGGTGTGTAACTATGTAGTGAGGTAGAGGGGTCCATTGTGAAGGCAAAACAGATCCAGGGATATAGGGGGACTTTTTCTGTGTTTTTGTGTGCTGGGTGTGGTGAATACCAGCGCTCCATTCAGCAGGTAACCATGTTGATGGTAATGAAACTTGCCTGCTCTCTTTGGAAATGAGAGGCAGAGCCTGGTGTTTGGACAGCCCATCATGTAGTTGATAACGAGGGGAACATTGTGCTACATGAACAAAGGCTGCTGCTGTGCCAGAGCCCCCTGTCTCCCCGTCCCCCACGCAGAACAGAACAGAGCAGGCAGGGATAGGAATGAGCGTGACTCGCAGCAGGTGGAGGCAGATCAGCATTTTAAAAGAGCTTTTTGTCCAGCAGCACTGGTATTCATCCAGACGATTTTATTAGCCTGAATGCAATTCTTCCTCATTTCCCATACAGCCTGGTCCTTTCACAGAGAGAAAATAGCAGGCAGATTTGATTTATGGTGCATTAAGCTGGGCAGTCTATCATGGACATCATGTAGATTGTGAAAACATACCTCCAGCAGAATATCTCAAAATAGATCTGGAGGTCATTAAAGCATCTTTAGTGGGGAAAACCGTACATGGAATTGAATTTGCAGCATTACAAAGAGCCTGTCCTTGCACAACATGCGTTAGAGGAGTCTCATGAGCACACACGTCACATAATTTCAAATGGGCCACAATGTCCCTTTTTAACAATGAAAAATATATATACTGTATGTTCCTTATTACATCAGTGTGTAGTAGTCACTGAATGTTGTCACTGAATTTGATCCACTTGATCCTGTTTTCTGGGTGTTTATCCCTCGGCTGAATGCTAATTTACAGCACATACCTGTAAAGTGGGTTTAGTGACCAATTCATTCTGACTGCAGGGCCCCCGTGCTGCCCTGTTGTCTGAATATGCATGCCTCTAACCTGTGTGTGTTGTGTGTTTCATCTCCAGCTCAACAGAATCCAGAGAAGGTGAAGAAGCTAGTTGTCCTCACTGCCCGTGTACACCCTGGGGAGTCGCCTGCATCCTTCATCTGCCAAGGTAGGTCTCTGTCTCCACCCTGGTGCTCTATACACATCCCTAAAACGCATGTGCGCACACACACACACACACACACACACACACACACACACACAGACACACAGCCAAGGTGGAGCATCTCACAAGCAGTTTATCAAGTTCTCATAGAATTACAGGGAAAAAAGTGGCAAAGAAGCAGATTATTCAAAAAGAACCTTGGCTTCCACTCATACCTCTTAACATGTCTGGCATTTGTCAGCCTGTTATTAAGATAGGCTCTTCAGGTGAGAGCTACTTGTTTCGTCGACAAGTCACTGAACTCCTGGAGAGTTTCTCTCCTCAACATCAAGGACATCTGAACTGTGAAGAAAGAGTGAGCTACAGTTAATGAGATGGCAGTTGAAGAGGTTTTACATACAACATGGACACAAGGCTACCTTAGAAAAGAAGGTGCCATCTAGAACCTACAACGGTTATTCGGCTGTCCCCATAGGAGAACCCTTTGAAGAACCCTTTTTGGCTCCAGGTCGAACCTTTTTGGGTTCCATGTAGAACCCTTTCGACAGAGGGTTCTACATGGAACCCACATGTATTCTACCTGGAACCAAAAGTGGTTCTACCTGGAACCAAAAAGGGTTATCCTATGGGGACAGCCAAAGAACCCTTTGGGAACCCATTTTTCTAAGAATGAATGTAAGACTATTATGTTAGCCTATGTTTGTAGCTTGGGTTTTGGGGACAAGGGTTAAGATTAGGGCAAGGGTCAGGGTTAGGGTTGAAGTCTGGGGTGACCTGATCTTTACAGTTTAAGCTAATATCATAGTTTAAGTTGAAGCTAAAGCTTGTCCTTGGGTCTTCTTTACTTTTCCATTGAAAATACAGCATAGGAAACCGTTAAAAGCTCCCAGTCTGTGGAGTAGTGTTTGGTCACCCCAGAGCGCTGAGAGCAGACAGCACATGTAGCTCAATGTGACTTTAAGCTCCACTCAGGACCAGCCCCGGCTCCGACACGCAGATGTGCATGAAATAATCTCAGGAAGTCCGAGCAATTAGATGGCACACTCTGTGGCCTGTACCTGTGTCCCACGCTCCATCTCTCCTCCTGCCTGCCACATTGACTCAATTAGAGAGCTTGTTATGCCTCCATTAGTGGTAACGAGCAGGACAGAGTGGGGCGGGCGGCTGGACTGGGAGGGGAGGGGTACAGGCTGGCTGTCGGCCCTCTTTGCTTCTTATTTACCTGTCAATTATCCTGCTTCAGTCCAGGGCTGTGGATGGCTTTCAGTGGCCGGTATGTATCTCTCTCTGTCTCTCTCTCTTTCCAACTCCCTCTCTCTCGCTTTTGCTGTCTCTGTGTCTCATCTGTGGTAGATAGCATTATCTCCCTCACTCAGTGTTTGAGGCCCTGTGGGCTAATTAGGTCCTCTGTGCTGTCTGTTTTTATCCCACTGTCAGCTCCATTCCATTTGTATCGATTGTGGACGGATGTCTCAGATTTCCCCTCAGATTTTTAGAACGCTCTCTTTCTGCCCTTTTCTTTTTGTTTCTCAGAACTCAATTAACTGAGGCCTTGAGTACATTTTACTGGGAGTGTGCGTGTGCGTGTGGTTGTCCATGCTTGCTTCTGTGTGTGAGTGAGAGAGAATAGCTTTGAGCATGCTGCTTTCCAGTCATAGAGTGAAATAACCCTGACTGTCTCTCTTGTGTATCTCCATGTTTTATTGTGTTTAGGAGTGATTGACTTCCTAGTCAGCCAGCACCCTGTGGCCCAAACCTTGCGTGACCATGTCATCTTTAAGATTGTACCCATGCTCAACCCTGACGGCGTCTACTTAGGCAATTACAGGTAAGCGCTACTATCAATATATAAAATCACCCTTTTCTTCATGGACTAAAAGAGCTGTTCAGTTGTTTTATGACATTTACTACTGTAGTAATTTCCATCCTGTTGCTTGAGGTCTACCTCTGAATAGTTGTATGTTTCATGGATTCTGATAGAGCCATCTGACTAGGCTGCATCACGTTGCTAGTGGTAAGGAGAGATTATGTGTTTGGTATCGCCCACTGTGTAGGTCTCCTACCAGAGCATTTATGGCCCGCTAGATGCTGCTGTTACAGATATGAATTAAACCAAAGGCCATGTGTGGGAATAGCAGGATGGGCCTTCTCATTTTCTATTCCTCCCTCTGCCTCCAAAGCCAGTGGCAGAGAGAAAATGTGCAGTTTTAGAGCTAATTTCCTGCTATTCTATACATTTTGCCATGAGGCTGAGAGAATATTTAGACGTTTTAAAGCTACTTTCCTGTAATTTAAACAAAAAAAATCATGGCTTACGACGTGTTCATATACTATCTGGGGGGCCCGACCTCCGGGGCGACCCCCCCCCAAAAAATGTATAAATTGGACCCCCCTTCCCCCCACACCACTGTCCAAAGCGCCATCCCTGGAATATGAACTGCTGGCTTTCCGATTTTGCTGTCTCCTTTCTCCTCTGTTGACAGTTCAGATCAATGTAATTGCTGCAGTAGTCAATTCCCCCTCTTATTCTCCAGTGCTTGTTGTCAATCCAATTGTGTGTGCAAAGACACACACACACACACATTTACCAGAGGGGGATGTGTTAGAGTACTTGTGTCACAGACATATAAACCCACACCCACTCTCCTCTTATTTGTCTACATATATTTATTCCTTTTTATACCTATTTATTGTGTAAGACAAATCTTGCCTGTACCATCTTGCCTGTGCCTGCCCTGCAGTGTCTCCTACACTGGGCTGAGTGTGTTTTCACAGGGTTTAGTTGTAATGCTGCTGTTTCTGAGGCCATATGTTCCAGCCTCTGTTTAGCACTGAGGCACAGGCTCCATGGGCATCATTTCCACCTCCCTCTCCATAATTGCCTTTTACTTAATGGGGTGGACATGAGGAATACAAATGTGCTGAGACTCTAGTGCTGCCACTAAAAGTGTTTGTGGCTGCCATCTAGTGGTCGCTCCCCCGCACTGCACCCAGTCTGTCAGTGGTAAATCACATCTGCTCTGATGATGACAGGGGTTAAAAACATCTTGTTGCTGATTGTTGACCCTTAAAGGTTGTTTTCATCAACTCTGGAAAATGATGCGGTCGGCCTGGCTGAATGGTAATAAGCTCCATATTAATATGAAGTGAATAGGAGTGTTTCTCTCTGCCCCTCCCGGTGAGGCCTGATTGGCCTTTCTGTGGGCTCAGCAGCACACTGCATCTGGAGGGGAATCGAACGGATGCATGCAGGGATCAGAATCAATCAGTGCTGACCACAGATTAGTATTTCAGGCATGCCTGCTTCACATTGGCATTGACACACAGACACAGGCCCCCGTGAAAGTCATGGATACTGAGCAGCATCAGCTCAATAGCCCAGAGTCCTTCCTTCCACAGCCACTCTAGAATAGACTATAATTACTTTATTTTTCCAGAAGAAACTTACATTGTGGCAAGTCAGATAACATAAAAATGTATAGTAAACATATACACTACATGACCAAAAGTATGTGGACACCTGCTCATCGAACATCTCATTCCAAAATCATGGGCATTGCAATGGCGTTGGTCCCCCCTTTGCTGCTATAACAGCCTCCACTCTTCCGGGAAGGCTTTGCACTAGATGTTGGAGCATTGCTGTGGGGACTTGCTTCCATTCAGCCACAAGAGCATTAGTGAGGTCGGGCACTGATGTTGGGCGATTAGGCCTGGCTCGCAGTCGGCGCTACAATTCATCCCAAAGGTGTTTGATGGGGTTGAGGTCAATACTCTGTGCAAGCCAGTCAAGTTCTTCCACACTGATCTTGACAAACCATTTCTGTATGGACCTCGCTTTGTGCACAGGGGCATTGTCATGCTGAAACAGGAAAGGGCCTTCCCCAAACTGTTGCCACAAAGTTGGAAGCACAGAATCGTCTAGAATGTCATTGTATGCTGTAGCGCATGGTGATCTTAGGCTTGTGTGCTGCTGCTCGGCCATGGAAACCCATTTCATGAAGCTCCTGACGAACAGTTCTTGTGCTGACGTTGCTTCCAGAGGCAGTGTTACAACCGAGGACAGACGATTTTTACGCGCTTCAGCACTCGGCTGTCCCATTTTGTGACCTTATGTGGCCTACCACTTCGCGGCTGAGCCGTTGTTGCTTCTAGACATTTCCACTTCACAATAACAGCACTTACAGTTGACCGGGACAGCTCTAGCAGGACAGAAATTTGACTAACTAACTTGTTGGAAAGGTTGCATCGTATTATGGTGCCACGTTGAAAGTCACTGAGCTCTCTCTAGGATATTCTGACTTGCTCATGTAAGGGAGCCAAACCAGTCAACTACACTAAATGTTAAGACAGGCTCAATAAAACATCTGTAACCTGCAAACTCTGACTAGAGGTCCTGGCTTTAGCTGCTCTTTGATTGGAGTAGAATTACATTCTAGTGAAATACATTGGGTCCTAGATCTCCAATAGTGGAGCTAAAGCTAATTGATTGTTCATATTAAATAAAAATCTGTGTTTCTTGGGAAAGTTTGATTGTTGATTGAATTGATTAGATATTAACACATACATCCACAGCATCAGTAGTAATTGTAGGTATCTGCAAATGTTCAACTCATGTGTGTGTGGTCATTTCCAGGTGTTCTCTGATGGGCTTTGACCTTAACCGTCACTGGCAGGAGCCGTCCCCCTGGGCCCACCCCACCCTCCATGCTGTCAAGCAGCTCATCGTCCAGCTCAGTCAAGACCCAGTGAGTCCCAATCTCCAACCTGCTTCTAACACCTGTATTACACACTTCGTACTGTAGTGACTGTGTGGGCCGTTTATTCCTCACCCTGCAGCACACAACATGCAACACAGTATCAGAGTCAACTGAAATTCCACATAGATACTAGCTATATAAAACACCTGAGTTGAGGTTTGAACACTGTTCTGAATCTAAACTCTATTTCCAGTTGACTTAGTTCAGAAGGTTATGCACTCATGTGGTTGAGAACTATAGAAAGGTGTGCTGTGGGATTGATACTCAGCAGCTCTCTGTAAAGTGTAGGTCTCTGGGACATTAGATTGTACTGAGGGGCAAGTGTCTGTAGTGTACTCTATATTCAGCTTGCACTTTCTTTGTTAGAGGAACGGGCCCTTGTGTTTTTTTGCCTTCGTGTTAATTATAAGTGGAAACGCAGGTTGTTAGATTACTGAAGGTCAGAGTCTGTCCTGGGAATCGTCTGCCCTTTCTTACACTTTCTAATCCTGATAAGACCAGGGCGTTCTGCTGAGCAAAGGGGCACGGCTCTCAGCTTAACCTTTTCCCCCAGCGCTGATATGCTGATCGATGGGCTCCTTCACGGCAGAGTGATCCACTCATGTCCCTCACACTTCTGCAAACTACACACACACACACATCCAAACACACACCACACATAGGTACATAGGTACTCTCTCTCTCTCTCTCTCTCTCTCTCTCTCTCTCACACACACAGACACACACCCACACACAGACACACACCCACACACATTTGCATTCACTGTCATACTCTACATACACTACATACATACTAATGGGCGGCAGGTAGCTTAGTGGGTAAGAGCATTGTGCCAGTAACCGAAAGGTCGCTGGTTCTAATCCCCGAGCCGACTAGGTGAAAAACCTGTCGATGTGCCCTTGAGCAAGGCACTTAACCCTAATTGCTCCTGTAAGTCGCTCTGGATAAGAGCGTCTGCTAAATGACCAATTTTTTTTTTTTTTTTTTTTTTTTTTTTTATACTCACACGCATACATTGTTTTCCCTCACAGTCTCACTCCAATGCACTCCAACTCCCATAGAGAACATGCACATGTAGCTCAGTGCAGAGCCAAGGGCTGAGAGAGAGAGCCTCTGTCTGCCTGCCCACATGTGTAATTATGATTCCACTGGCTGATCCAGTGGCTGGAAGGAGAACTCTCATTAAGCTCTCCACCTCTCCACCAACTCTGGACCCCACAGCACCCTCAGCACTACATTCATCCATACAGTACAATCCCAACCAGGGCCATGTGCCCACATCTCTCAGCCCCAGTCTCTCCATCCTATCCCCTGGCCTGGATGTGGCCGACTGGCCCTGTCAGAGGAGAGACCTGGCCGCCTCTCTCCAGCTAATCACATCAGACACAGCACTCAGATCTGGGGCTCCCAGATGCCAATCCCAGTGCCAGCTCTATGGCCAGGGGCCTGGCCCTCCATCCACTGCTGTCTCACACTGTGCACATCCACTAATGAGGCTACAAGACCACGGTCTGAGGACAACAGGAGGAGATCATGCCGGGCTAACATGCTCCTCTTTATTTGTCCGCTTCCCTCTAGCTGGCAGATGGTAGCAGACGCAGAGGATTCCAAGCTGTCAACGGCCATTTGACTCTTGAAGAATGTCAAACCAAATCCATTTCTCTAGCTTTAGGAAAGGGCTCAGTGACAGTCAGACTGCAACAACATTTATTTAATCCCTTTTAGTAATATACACGTTTAGTTTTTTATCTTTGAAAATCTGTGATTGAATCTGTCTTTCATTCGAGAAAGATCCCTTTTTTGATAATCTCTAAAAAGCCATTTATCTAAGCCTGATTGACAAAGATTTATTTTCATTAATTACAGATTTTAATTGCTTTAAAGAAAAACTCAAAGCAGTCTAACACCTTACGTCCTTAATATAGCTCTGAATCCATCTGAATGGAAGGACATTGGAACATTTATATAAAATCCTGTCATTTCACATAAACAGCTGAACATTGGTCAAAAGGGGAAATGGAAAAGAGTCAGTGATGCAAGAACATATCATCTGTTCCCAAGCTCCTTGGTGTTTGTTTAAAAAAAGGAAAAGAGTGAAGAAACAAATGGACCAATCTCCCACCTAAAGCAATGCTTTTCCAGCCCATTTATTAAAGGAAAAGAATTATTTTTGATTGGCTGATTACTCAGAACATTCATCATAATGAATGTATCCCCAGCAATCTGACAGCGCCATTTTGGATAATTTGTTAAGGATGACAAAAGGGCCAGTATTGCCATGGTTCATTTCTGACCTTTTTAATATTAGAAAATTAATTTTCTATCTGAAACAAATGTATTAGGTGCTGTCATGCCGGTTAGATGGATATTGCACCTTGAAAATCCCCCCTCCTCCTCCTGGCTGTACTTTCTCTCTTTTCCTTTTTTTCTGAGGGGAGCCATTGTCTGCTGTATTCAGGGCGTTTGGCGAAACTGCTCTTTCCGTCTGTCTGTTGAGCTGTCCTCTGGTGTCATCGGCCCATTTCTTATCCATTTCTGAGATTTACGGGCAATTTGTCCCCATCATTACTCCCCCTTTTCACTTCCTCAACCGCTTCTCCTCCAGTTTGAGGCAGAACTGTCTGGCTCTCACAGGCAAAGAACAAGAAAATGACACCGTGGAGGAACCCATTTGGGGTGTCTTTTTGGTGTGTGCTGTTTGTACTCAAGATGCTTTGGTGACACAATAATAATAATAATATGCCATTTAGCAGATGCTTTTATCCAAAGCGACTTACAGTCATGTGTGCATACATTTTTACGTATGGGTGGTCCTGGGGATCGAACCCACTACCCTGGCGTTACAAGCGCCATGCTCTACCAATTGAGCTACAGAGGACCACAATGGGAGCATAGATCCACCAAACAGACCCAGGGTGTGTGAGATGATGGGAGGTGGGTCGATGGAGTAACAGACAGTGACTGTGGCCAGCTCTTTGACCGATGTCGGTTCAATTACTTGAATTCCATTTAGTGAGTTTTTTGTGTGAACCCAACGTGCCTTTTCTCTAGAGAGAAATCAAATCATTCACGAGAGAAATCAGAGAAATCAAGTGTCACGCCCTGACTCAGGGGACTCTTATACAGTGGGGAAAAAATGATTTAGTCAGCCACCAATTGTGCAAGTTCTCCCACTTAAAAAGATGAGAGAGGCCTGTAATTTTCATCATAGGTACACATCAACTATGACAGACAAAATGAGGAAAAAAATTCCAGAAAATCACATTGTAGGATTTTTAATGAATTTATTTGCAAATTATGGTGGAAAATAAGTATTTGGTCAATAACAAAAGTTTCTCAATACTTTGTTATATACCCTTTGTTGGCAATGACACAGGTCAAACGTTTTCTGTAAGTCTTCACAAGGTTTTCACACACTGTTGCTGGTATTTTGGCCCATTCCTCCATGCAGATCTCCTCTAGAGCAGTGACGTTTTGGGGCTGTCGCTGGGCAACACAGACTTTCAACTCCCTCCAAAGATTTTCTATGGGGTTGAGATCTGGAGACTGGCTAGGCCACTCCAGGACCTTGAAATGCTTCTTACGAAGCCACTCCTTCGTTGCCCGGGCGGTGTGTTTGGGATCATTGTCATGCTGAAAGACCCAGCCACGTTTCATCTTCAATGCCCTTGCTGATGGAAGGAGGTTTTCACTCAAAATCTCACGATACATGGCCCCATTCATTCTTTCCTTTACATGGATCAGTCGTCCTGGTCCCTTTGCAGAAAAACAGCCCCAAAGCATGATGTTTCCACCCCCATGCTTCACAGTAGGTATGGTGTTCTTTGGATGCAACTCAGCATTCTTTGTCCTCCAAACACGACGAGTTGAGTTTTTACCAAAAAGTTATATTTTGGTTTCATCTGACCATATGACATTCTCCCAATCCTCTTCTGGATCATCCAAATGCACTCTAGCAAACTTCAGACAGACCTGGACATGTACTGGCTTAAGCAGGGGGACACGTCTGGCACTGCAGGATTTGAGCCCCTGGCGGCGTAGTGTGTTACTGATGGTAGGCTTTGTTACTTTGGTCCCAGCTCTCTGCAGGTCATTCACTAGGTCCCCCCGTGTGGTTCTGGGATTTTTGCTCACCGTTCTTGTGATCATTTTGACCCCACGGGGTGAGATCTTGCGTGGAGCCCCAGATCGAGGGAGATTATCAGTGGTCTTGTATGTCTTCCATTTCCTAATAATTGCTCCCACCGGTGCCCAGTCCAGCTCCGGTCAGCGGCTCCAGTCCGGAGACAGAGCAGTCTGCTCCACCGGTGCCTAGTCCAGCTCCGGTCAGCGGCTCCAGTCCCGAGCCTGAGCAGTCTGCTCCACCGGTGCCCGGTCCAGCTCCGGTCAGCGGTTCCAGTCCAGACCCAGACGTCAGCCCCTCTCCAGGTTCGGGGTCTCCCACACCAGGGTCCAGACAGGGCTTGGAGTATCGTGGGAGGAACGAGAGGGGAAGCAGCGCGCCGAGGTCCAGACCAGACCAGGGGCGCAACAGGGAGGCGGAGAGTATGTGGTTGTCACGCCCAGAGCCGGATCCGCCTCCGAGGCGGAATGCCCACCCGGCCCCTACCCTGTTATGTAAATGTTGTGCACCTTTGGGGGGGGGTACTGTCACGCCCTGACTCAGGGGACTCTTATATGTTGAGTCAGGGTGTGGTGTTCTATGGTGTGTTTTCTATGTTTCAGTCTAGGTGTTGTAGTTCTGTGTTTGGCTGGGTGTGATTCCCAATCAGAGACAGCTGTCGCTCGTTGTCTCTGATTGGGGATCATACTTAGGCAGCCTATTGGCACTCGTTAGTTGTGGGATCTTGTTCCGTGAGTAGGCTTGTTTTGTGTGTAGCCTTAGGACTTCACGTTTCGTTGGTTTGTTGTTTTGTCGTGTGTTTATCATTTAAATAAACATGTACGCATTTCACGCTGCGCCTTGGTCTGACCCGTCCTTCAACGAACGTGACATCAAGTCAATAACTATGTGGGATGCTGGGCCGAAGGGAGTTATAGTTTTCATTAAGCAAATATTCAACCTAGTTCAGCGCAGAAACGTGGTAATTAACTATAATGACCATAATTGCGGCAGTTTTTTCCAGCTCAGAGACGATCAGAGAGGAAGAGGCGAAGCGAGAGGATTCACTCTTGCCAAAATCTGTCCAAAATAACACAATGCGTTTCTATGGATTTATTTTGGAGCTAACCTTGTCGCCTGCCTTCCAGTATTTTGGACAACGACTCCCATTGTTAGGGCAGAGACATGAGCATTTTGTCATTATATACAGATCTCTGGACGGATACACTTTTACGCCTGCTACGTTAGGTTGGATACACACAGACTGGATAGACCGCTGTTACAGGAGGGGGTCGCAGTTCCGGAGCGACCCACTAGGTGTCATCCTCCGACAACCTTAGGCACCTCCTCACTCACAGTCTGGACTAATTATTATCCTATTGGAGTCACCTGTGTCTACCTGTTCACCTGTGTATGTATGCCCTCACTTCCATGTGTTCCCTTGCTCTGTTTTCTCTGCTAGTTTCTCGATGCCAAACAGTACTAATCAGTGTCTGATCGCGAGACGTATATGTTCTCCCTGTTTCATTGTTGTTTTCAGTCATAGTTAGTATTTCATATGTTTGCTGTCAGCCTTTTTTTGGAGACCAATTTGCTCCTCCTTTATTTTATCGTGACAAGTCCGTTATTTTGTTTCCTGGTTTTGGGACCACCAGTAAAGATCCTTGTTTCACCATCTCTGCCTACTGCCTACTGTCTATCCTGCACCGCACCTGGGTCACACCTCACACCAACCCTTACAGACCGCATGAGAGAGGAATGTACACAACACAACTAGGAGAGGGATAGAGACAGTTTGTGAAATTATACCTCTTCTACTTTGAATAACTAGTAAAATAATTTTGTCAGACAGCTCTGCAGCATACTTAGGCAGGTAAGCTAGCAACATTCTAAACAAAATCTAGGTTGTATGTAATGAATCATCATCTGTCTTTTTTCTCATCATCTGTCATTTTGTCTTTGATTGACATGCTTTGATTGACATGCTTCAGCTATATTTCAGGATTACATTTTAAAAGTTGCCCACAACTGAAATATTTTATTATTTCATAGTAATTTCCTATTTTTCTGTTGATGTCTACCCACTAACTGTAAGTCGCTCTGGATAAGAGTGTCTGCTAAATGACTAAAATGTAAATGTAAATGTACCCAATGTGGACCTGACAGAGACAATGGAATATTTTCAATGTTTTGGCAATTGAATGTTCACTATTTTTGGCTTTGGAACTTCCATTAAAAAGCTCTAAAGTCATTGTAACATCATTATTTCATAATGCATTTCATGTAAAAAAATAAATAAAATCTAAACCAAAATCGAAAACCGTGATTATTTTTTGATAATCGAACCGAAACCGAACCAACCTCAAAAATCACTAATCTCTCAGCACTATTCCAGACAGATGCAGATGCTTATGAAGCGCTAACAGCCGCAGAGTGCTGTCTGAGTGCCCGTTTAGCTTGATTACAAGTCACCTCTGTGTTAAAAAGGGGCCAAATATGTCCATCAATTAGTCTGTGGCAGAGAGAGA